TCTCCAGCCAAACTGGCCTGGAGAAAAATGGCTTCCTGACCCCAGAGTGGCGATCACGGTCAGGATATAAGGACAGGTGGACTCCCATTCTAGCTGTACCTAGAAAGGGGTTGGAACACTTTCCCTATGAGGAAAGTATAAGGCGCTTAGGGCTCTTTAGCTTGGAGAAACAATGACTGAGGGGTGACACGATCGAGGTCTATAAGATTATGCGTGGGAAAGAACAGGTAGAGAAAGAGGTACTTTTCTCCCTTTCTCACAAGACAAGAACTCGTGGGCACTCCATGAAATTGCTGAGCGGTCGGGTTAGAACGGATAAAAGGAAGGATGGCACCTGGTGTTTTTGGCCACTGTGTGACACAGAGTGTTGGACTGGATGGGCCTTTGGCCTGATCCAACATTGGCATCTCTTATGTTCTTATGTTCTTTACCTGAAGAAGTGAGCCGTGACTCACGGAAGCTCCTCCCCTGCCACAGATTTTGTCAGTTTCGAAGGTGCTCCTGGACTCTGGCTCTTTTCTCCTGCTCCAGACAGACTCACACGGCTGCCCATCTTGATCCGTCTCCATGGAAGGCGCCACATTTAGCCGTGCAGAATGGGAGTCCATCAACCTTGTGATACAAGGACTGATGGACTTTCATTCTAGCTGTATCTGAGGAAGCGAGCAGGGAAAGCTCGTACCCTGCCAGAGTACAGAATTAAAATGTATTGTATTTAGCCATAGGCCATTACAAAACAAAGATAACAGCAGAGAGGAATACTGTAAACATGGATAATGGTATAAAATTGAGTAAAAACTAAGACATTATAAAACCATAAAACCAAAGTTATAAGCAATTAATTGAATCAAAACGTACCCACTAAGATAAATATTAACTAGTTCCCATAAGAACAGCGTCGGCCCGTATTTTCTTTGCAACCAAGGCAAATAGAGCCATTCTGTAGGATTGGCACTAGAATCAGCTAACAAAAATACAATTGTACCCTGCCACAAAATCTGTTAGTCCTGAAGGTGCTCCTGGACTCTTGCTCTTTTCTCCTGCTACAGACAGACTCACATGGCTACCCGTCTGAATCTTATCTCCCTGGAAGGCACCACTTTTAGCTGTACAGAA